TCGTAGGATGTGATGCATGTGCATATACTGACTTATGCATATATGTGCTTTATAGTTTCTTTTTATTTTTTGGTACGGGGAATTTTGAATTTTAGCTAATTGTTTCCTTCATACTTAATTCAAAAGAAACTTAATACAAAAACTTAATATTTTTACTGTAGAATGCATAAATTTCAATGGTTGACCTGAGTAGCAGAGCCATAGGATTTGGTTATAAAATATGTTTCTTTTAAAATTGGTGTACGCCTCAATTACAAACTAGTTGGTGTTGGTTATATGAATTCTATATCCATTCTCCTTTTGGTCCGGTTCATTCCACTACTCAGTTTTTTTAAAGCAAGATAACTGACAACTTTTTGATTTGAATATATCTCAAGAACAGTGAACATTTTCATCTGTCACAGAAAAACTTGGGGAAGGCTAACATGTAATTCACACGTCAGGAGGGATTATCGGTCAAGTAAGAAGATTGACCTACTAAAGTCCGGATTGAAATGAACTGCAGCTGCTTTGGTGCCTCAACGGTGCGGAAGAAAAGGGGTGTTGATCATGTTCATAAAGATGCACCAGACACTGGAGGTTAGTGCATAGTTGGAACTTGGATTTTAGCTGATCAGTTTTTTCTCAGTTGCATGATTTATTAGTCTTTGATGAATTTTTCACAACTTTATTATTCTCCTTTGAGAAAGGTAGGATTTTTGATNTTTCTCTTTCATTTTTCTAGTTATCAAATTGTTTGTATTGCTTCTGTCTTTGTATACTTGCTATTCTGAAATTCTCTTACACCCAATGTTACTGGATACAAGCTGTTTAACACCTCCAGTGCACTTATCATTACTTATTTTGAGCTAATTGACCCGCTTTCTGTAATTTATGCACCAGATTGAACAAGCGTCAAACATAATTTAGGTTATTGCAATATTAAAAGTCAGTCAGCCTTTATTTCCTTCCCAATTGAAGAAATTCATGATGTGTAATGAAGGGAGTGATTTCTACAAGAATATTTTGGTACTTGATAAATATAATTAATATGTTTGCTATATAGATAATGACATGTTCTAGAAGCAGTTGGCGTTTGGATTGAGTTTGCTCCAAGGGGCCAATTTGTACTTGGCCCTTAATCCCAAAAGAAAAGAAAACGTCAATTGATCAACTACACTTCAATCCTACTTATGGGGTTGACAATGTGGCTGCTCTGTTCGGTGTTTGGAGAATTCATTGTAATTAGACTATTTTTACGCTGGTTGTTAGGTGACTACAACCCTTCTCATGTATTATCCGGCTTGGGACACAGTATGCTTTACAAGGCCCACATAGGTGGATTTCAAAAGAAAAACACGATTTCATCTTGTTCCTAACTAGAACTAAAAACTGGTCCAAATTTGCTCCAGGGTCTGAATAGTGAGTAGTTGCCGAACATGAACTGATGTGGTAGGTTTAATCACAGAATAGCATATAAGAGTCGAGAAGGGAAACTTTGAGTATTCCCTGCTCACTAACTTGCTCAGGTATCTGTCTAAAATCATCTTATAAGTGGTTAGGATAAGGCAGTCAGTCAAGTGGCACAACTATTACTTTTTCTGATAAAAAAAGTTCACTATACCAAGTGATATGTGAGAAGTTATACAGAGCCCTGCATCAATGATGACACAGTTAAAGGATGAAAAAGTTCCATCTAGTTTAGTTTCTGGGGGCAACCATGAAACTTTTATTCTTGGTCAAATACTTGTCGCATCACATTTTGTTGCTGAAAATTTCCTTCTATCCATCTTTTTTCTGCAACAATTTAGTCATTCCCTTTTGTTCTTCAGTTTCATGTCCACACTAATATTTCCTTTCTGTCAGGCTGCTCCACTGCAAAGACAAAGAAATTTTCATATAGTGAATTAAGAATAGCAACCAACAACTTCCATCAAAGGAACAAAATAGGGCAAGGAGGTTTTGGGACAGTATACAAGGTTCAACTCTATTCTATAAATACTTCTCTTCCTTTTCATGCCTGAGCTTTATTACACGAACAACTTGCATTTGCACGTAATTTGCATGGTGCTATTTACAGAATTGCATTGCTGAAACTATTAGACCTTTGTGTTATTATTTATAGGTAGAGATATATTATCTGCAATTCTTCAAAATTTTGCATCACAAACTTGTTATTATGTTATTTGATTTTCACATTTTCTGCTTCTTAAGTTATGTTTTATAAACATTTTACTCTTATAAGTGTCATTTCATGGTTTTAGCATATATGTAATATGAGATCGAGACTTCTAGTGAATAACAAGGTCCTTGGACTTAACTCTTGTGGTGCATTGACATGTTTGTTGAATGGTTATTAACTTTAGTGTGACTTTGTAGGGAACTCTAAAAAGAGGAATAGAAGTTGCTGTGAAGACACTTTCTGCCGAATCAAGGCAGGGGTTGCGTGAGTTTTCGACAGAAATTGAAACCCTATCAGATGTCAGACATCCCAATCTAGTTGAGTTGATTGGATACTGTCTTGATGGAACTAACCGGATCTTGGTCTACGAATACATAGAAAATAGGAGCCTTGATCGAGCACTGTTTGGTAAATTAGTTTGAAATCAAAAGAATACTTCACCATGTACGGAATGGGTTACTGAAATGGTTCTTGCTTTGCAGGTTCTAGGACTAGCAATGTTAAATTAGAGTGGGACACACGGGCCGCTATTTGCTTGGGTACTGCTAGAGGTCTTGCTTATCTACATGAAGAATTAGTGCCGCATATAGTGCACAGGGACATTAAAGCTAGTAATATACTGCTTGATAAGGATTATAAACCAAAAATTGGAGATTTTGGACTTGCAAAGCTTTTTCCAGATAATATCACTCACATCACCACGCAGATAAAAGGAACCACGTATGTCTTCTGAGTTTATTGTTGAAGCTTCAATGTTTTCCGTTGATTGAAATCGGACCTTTATACTTTGCTTAATAGAGAGATTTAGTATAAGTTATACTTCCTGTGAGATGCTAGTTGCTGCAATTGTAGCTAACGTGAAAGGAAGGGGTGGAAGATAGTGCCTCTATACAACTGTCCCCAAGCATAAAGAGTTGTCTAGGTGCTTCAGCATCTGCCATTTTTCTATCTGGAGTCTTTGTCTATCAAGATTCTTGTGAAGTGACTTACTGGATAAATCATGGAAGAAGATTAACAAAATTATTGTGGATGTCAATAGGAAGTGTGCAAATACCAATGAGTAGATCATTAGCTTGTAACTTGAAATCACCATTCATCTGTGAGTTTGGCATGCCTGAATGTGGAGGATTTGTATCGTTAAGATCTTTTAGATGCACCTGTTTAAAAAGATTAGAAGACATTTTTGCACCTGCCAATACCTTGCCTATTGCCATATCTAAGTTGATTCTCTTTTGTCATTGAAGAACTGTCTGGTCTAAACTGTGTTTATTATATTGTATCACTTCCAGTGCTCAAGAATCAAGGGCAACTGTTCCTAATTGCATCTTACTACTCCTTTTCCTGATAAATATGTATATTTTTCCTGAGAAGTCCATGTCTTTTGCTCTATGCTTTTACACATTGTGTTGACTAAGAAAGGTAGCTGATTTTATAGCATCTACTTCAAACTACCAAAGTTTTGCATTATATGTGTTGTAGAGTACATAGGTCTCCGACAAATGTCCCGCTTAAAAATATTTAAATGGTACTATGGGGTTATTGAAAGTAGTATTCTTACTTCTGTACCTTTTGCTCTTCCGTGCAGTGGCTATCTGGCACCCGAATATGTAATAGGCCGTCAATTAACATCCAAGGCTGATGTTTACAGTTTTGGGGTCCTAGTACTTGAAACAGTAAGTGGCAGGAGCAGTGGCAGTGGTGCATGGCAAGGGCAGAAGTTACTCCTGGAATTGGTGGGTTGATTTTCAAATTCCTTAATTTCTTTCTAGATCTACCATTCCTTTTGCCAATAGAATCAACAGTCTATTGCATGATTTGTTTACTTGCATCTGCAACTAGTACTTACATATGCGGTTTATTGTCAATTTGAAACAAGAAATTGCCAGGCACGTCAAGATGTGATTCTATAGAAAATAGGCGTGAATCTATCTCTGATAAGTATATGTCCATCAATAAACTAAATGCGCCTTCAAACTGATTTTGATGGTTATGTGAATACTATATATCCATTATGCTCTATTTGGACTTATTTCATTCCGCTTCTATAAATATATTGTCTTGTAAAAATCCCTAATTGGGGAGTATATGATTTTATCTTTTCTTGTGCAAAGTCAACAGTTGTTGGATTTTCACCGATATCAATGCTGGTTTTAGCATATTGGAAGCAAAGGAGTCTGAACTAAGGTTTTGTTGTTATTACACTTATATAGCCAAATTAAAACGAGTCTGGATTAAGGTTTTGTTGTTATTACACTTACTTTAGGTCCGTCGTTTACCTGTAGTCTTGTAGTCTGGTTAGACATTTTGTATGTTAGAATAGGGATAGGTGTGAGATTTCAGAACCTCTGATTTACCAGTAGTGGACTGAATGAGGCCAAATAGAGTGGAATGGATATAGAGAATTCATATACTTGACCCTAAGGCATAATTGTTTGAAAGAGTCTCAATAAAAATATGTGCAAAGATGAGATATTTAGATTCAGAGTGGGAAAAAAAACCAGAATAAGACAATAGGGTAGAACCTGTTTCACCAAATTGGGATAAATGCACGAGAGTGCAATCAGAAAATGATATTAGGAAGTTGAGCTGATTCGGCATGGTAGTCATTGGTAAAAAAATGCTACTTTACAGCAATAGGAGATTGTATCAAGGATTCATGTTATTTAAAATCAGGTTTTAAAGGGTCGGAGAAGCATTGCATTTCCAATATGACTCTTAGACATAACTCTTGTAGACAGAATTGTAATTTTGTCGTTTCCATCGCTATTGAAATTTTACGGTGCAAGCTTGCTTACACCATTTTGGCCATGAATCTAATTTTCCAAAATATTAGTCTTTTGAGATATTTATTTCTATAATATTTATGGAGTATGCAAGTTGCTAGAATTATTATTTTATATTAATTTTATAATAATTGACACAAGATATATTTTATATAAATTTTAATAATGATTGACATAGAAACGTGTGTATTCAAAAATTAATTAATTTTATAGGTTAAAACGATATAATTATTGTTCTTTTAACTGTTAAATCGGTCATCATTCATCGTTTTGAGTTTGAACTTTTTCCCTTAAAATTTCATATTATACATCACAATTTTTAAAATAATATTTTGTAATTTTCAAAAATTTATACTGATTGATTTGGAGTACATGGATCTCCCGGAAACAGCCTCTCTATCCTTCCGGGGTAGGGGTAAGGTCTGCCTACACTCTACCCTCCCCTGACCCTACTAGTGAGATTTTACTGGGTGTGTTGTTGTTGTTGTTGATTTGGGGTACACGTGCAACGAACGTGTCCAAAAACTAGTAATGTATAATAATTTGAACCACTCACATTATAATACTAGTAGCGTAAAGAGGCCGTAAGTCGGAAGGCAGCCATATAATTGTCTTGAACATCATTGACCAGTCATTCAAATAAACAAAGAGCAAGCAACACCAAGAAATGTGAAAATACACTTAGATATGATGAGATTTTGCTAGTTTTCAGGCTTGTGGAAATATTGATATTGTTGTTGTTGGCAAGTTGTGGTATGTGGGCACTTGTGGTGCGAGTTGTTATTATGATATGA